TAAAATTTTTCATAACTTTTCCACTACACATTCTCCCATCAATCACTATTCTAAAAAATTTTATCTTCAAAAAAATGGGTGTCAAACACACCATTAATATGGATGTTTCAAATGTACTAAACAAGCAATCTAGGAACGAATATATTGGAAAAATAAGAAACAAAAAGGAAAATAAAAGAAAGAATAGAGTGATAGAGGGTTTTAAGGTGAAGTACATACTACTACTATCTTCTAATACTGTCGAAACATCGTTTTTAAATATCCACGGTAATCAGTATGATCTATATTTGGAGAAAATTCCGTTTTCTTCTGAAAGATGCTACTTTTAGGACATTCTGCTCAAATATTTTGCGACCAATGTATTGTAGTATGGTTGGATTTCATATAAACTTTCAAGTAGGATATGATTCCGCTTTTGTTTTCAAGCCTCCTCAACATTCAATGTTGTCTTAGGATACTCATCACGTGTAATAACTTGAGTTGTATTAGTAAGTAGTCATTGAAAGGCATTCAGTTTTTGGTTAAAGTACAAGAATATTTCAAATTATCTGCCATGCCTTCTTTGGGCAATGTGTTAACGTTCAAAAAATTCTACAGACATTCTATTGATTTCCATAATTTTTTTTACAGAATATCGAGATAGATATGTGGTCAATATTTTCAAATCTAAGTTTGATACAAGAGTTGATCTGGGTATCTTAAAACTTGGTCTTAGTCACCTATTTAAAGGCTATAACGCATAGCATTGTTGAATACAATGGTCCGCTTTTTCGGCTTCTTTTTGCTCTCTCTCTCTCAATTTGCTTGTAAAAAATCATAATTTTTTGGTACCGCAAATTCATTAAAAAAAAGCCAGACTTGCTCCTTGATTTAGTAAATATAAATTTTTCTTCTGTAGGTAATGGCAAATGGATGTTTCCTGTTGAAAAATCCTTTGGCTCAGACCTAAATTAGTGTAGTGAGAACTCAAATGGACATGACATACCTGAGAAAATAATGGGCCTGCCTTTGAATCTGTTGCCCAGTAGAACATTCCTTCAGAGATACTTATACTCATCGAGAAGG